CTTGAAAGCTAACTTCTTCTAGCGTAAGGTGCTGTGTGACCCCGTCACACGTTACGACGACAACTCAGTGATCTAAGGCGGTTAGAGGTATCCCCCTTTTTTGTTACAAATATTCATCCCAGACCTCACGAACACCATGTCGATAGAAGATGATAGCGTCGACGACCTGACAGCGACTGGGTAGTCGACGCCGCGGAGGACGACGTATCAGGAGTCGACAGTGATGCTGCTCAAGATGTAGCAAGCGCTGGAGTTAGTGGTGTACACACTGGAGAAGAGGATTGCGGTACTGAAATAGAGGAGGGCGCTGCTGGTGATACTGCTGTGCAAGATCGTCGGTCTATTGGGGGAAAAAAGTGTCGTTGCAGAGCAGTATATCGCTTCTCTCTGCGATAACAGCAGTCTACACGTTGCTACATCAGACCAAGTGGCAAACGCAGACGATTCCCAGCGAGAAGTCGGTGTATTGACGTTGTTCTTCACCTCCACACTGAACGATCGACTACGTAAATGGACGTCGGATGTATTGGTAATTGACGGCCATACTGCTGTTACTGATAGTGAGTTCAACGCCTAAATAGGTCTCGAAATTGCGATGAGTGTTTGGCCAATAAATGGGATGGCTAAGTTTTGGTCGGATCGCCGCTTTCTGGGCCAGTCTGCCTTTATTGAAACAATGACAAAAATGCGATTTCAGCAGATACGTGGAGCACTGTCACTACACCCACCAGAACACCCAATCTTTGACAAGGAAAGAGACCCACTGTGGCGTTGTAGAGGAGTTATGGAACATTTCCAGAAGCACTTTGCAGAGTATGCAGTACCAGTGGGCGCTAACAGTATTGACGAAAGGACTGCTCGAGCTAAGGCCAGGTCACGGGCTAGGATATTTATGCCCTCCAAGCCGGATAAGTATGACGCCCGCTTTTATGCTATCGTGGGATGGTCCTCCCTCTACGTTCACTCGTTGTGGGGTAGCGCCTCGGGCAACACATTGCCATCGACGCCTGCTGAACGGCTTATTTCCTACCCTAAGAACGCCGCTGTACAATACTTTGCGTGTCGACGAGGTGACTATTGAGCCGGAATCTGCTACCGCGCTGTGGATTGCCATGACAGGGCACCAGGCGCGAGCACTGCGCTCTCCCACTGGCCACCGTCTAGTTGTATCAGACAACTTTTATACTCGCCACACTTTTGCACAGGCGTTGTTAAAGTTCACGGACAGTGAAATGCATCTTCTTGGGACCGTTCGTATCAGCTTAGTTGATAAATGGAACAAACCGGCAGTGTCAGCAGCAGTAGCAGCACTTGTCGATGGTGGCTCACGTGGTGGCTGGGAGCTAGTTGCTGCTGTTGATCCGGAGCCTGGCTGGGAGAAAAAGAAGCAGGTTCGTCAAAACCAGCATCGGCGTATTGCTATAGAAAAACGACAACATTCACGCCAACAATTGTACAAGCAGAGCGAGCTGGCTATATCATTTACAAGGATCGGAAAATTCTACACCAATGATCTGCAATCTACGCCGTGGAAGATTACTTTACCCTCGAGCCCACCCGAGGCAACGTTTTGCTGTCACGGTACCTACCCTGCACGTCGCTAGGCAGAAGGTCGAATGCTGTATCGCAAAGTGTTTATGACCCCGACTCCATTTGCTGCCTACAACCTTTGCATGAAGGCGGTCGACAGAGTAGATCAGCTGCGTAGCACCAATTCCATCCGCCGCCATGGAAAGCGTCTAGGGATGACAATGTTTACGGGCTTGATCGATATTGCTATTATCAACTCTCACACGCAGTCCGACCTGCTTGTGTAAAAGTCGTCGAGCTACATGAATTCAAGCGAATGTTGGCCGACTCGAAACCAAAACCGAAAAAGCGCAATAAGCAGAGACATGAGCTGCAGCAAAAAAAAGCATGCTCGCGAGACCATTGATGACGTTGTCGGTATCGACACGTCACTGCACATTACCACTCCGAACTCAACGGAGAACAGCAGCGGAAAACTGCTTTGTTACTTGTGTGGTCTGCGGAATATCAAAAAGAAGGCCAAATACGGGTGCACAAAATGTTAGAGGGGCTTTCATGTCGAGTGCTTTACCGCATTTCATCACCGCGATGTACTCAAAAGCACACCTCATTTACGAACTTCACTTGAGGCGGTGTGCCGAGCGTCCACGGACGAGCCGGTAGCCTTCACGCGCAAACGCAGCAACAGAACGATCACACCAGTTAAGAGTATCAAACTACCGGAAGCGTAAGCACATAGTACATGTACATGAGTAATACCTTACGCCGCTCATCCGGCCAATATTTTATAAGCTTGCTTGAAACAATTGGATGAATAGCGCCTTGAAAGCTTCCGACGCTAAGGTAGAGAAAGTATCGCCCAAGTACTTGGCGGAGCTCTTTGTTACAATGATGCTGATGCACTAGCTTTCTCTGCACGCGACCTGCAGTAAGCCAGAGCTTCTCTTGGCAGCGGTCCCACTCACAAGGTGCAATCCCGCACCAGTCGCACACACTGCTGTTAACGAGTCCCATGAGACCCTTTTTAACACCTTGAACTTTCTGAGCCTTGGTTGCACTAGATTTTAGAAGTACGTAGCTGATACCAGCTATGTATTTTTGATTGGGTGAATAGCTTCAAGTTATTGAATGGCATGATTTGTGTCGATGTTATAAAGGTCCACGTGGACTTCTACCGACAGGGCTGGTAGCTTAAGGGTTAATAATATGTAACCGGTACAATGAAACAAAACGTGTACAAACCAAGCAAATCATCCTTTTTGTTAGTAGTATGGAATCAAGGTATCATTCCTGCTGTGAATGAAGACTTAGCATTATTTACGCAGCAACTCCATCATTTTTTTTTATCCTTTGCCGCGCGTCTCCTTGTTTCATTTTGGATCGTTTAGCTAAGGCAACCTTTTATAAGTACTAGTCGAGCGCCGCCGCTACGCAGTGGTGATATAGGTTTTATTCTAAATGTCTCCCTGCCTCCGCTTCGCTTCGGCGGGAAAATTTTCTAAACCCTCTGAACCCCCGTGCCTAAATCGACTTATTTTATTTAAAAAAAATCTGGGTTTTATTTAAACCAGTCGCTACCAAATGCTAAGTTCCCGGTAAGCCGTGCAATTATTTCTACAAAAAACTGAGCCCCTTGCATCAAACTTATGATGCTCAATAAATATTACTCTATAGATCTTGACAAAGTCTCTTTATTATTTTTGGCTTTCACTGTACCTTCATCTTCCACTTAGAATCACCTGCACTTCAATTAGCACTTCTACAAACGCTACACAATATAGTTAGTTTAGCGTCGTGCTCGATTTCATGGGCCGTTCCTGAAACTTAGCTCGAATCAATGCAGAGGAAAGTGTCCATTTTGCACTAAATCGATGCTTGTGCTGCCTGTTTAAGCTTGTAATTAACGGAAGATTAATCACTACATGCAGTCATTAGACACTCGATTCTGTGCCAGTTAGGATTATAGCATTGACTAATGTGTCGCAAGTCGCATTGCTGTTGTTGGTTCGATTGTCACGACTAAGTTCGGTTTGGTCTTAATTAAGTTCGATTTTTGGTTTTCGCTACTTTGCTCTCAATTCTTATCTTCTGCGCTTTCCTTGACCCGGCGAATGAGGAAGGAGTTGCTGAAGAAGCTTTAAACCTACCCTCGATAATAATTTACGCGAAGAAAAAAAAATGATGTCGTAATGTTCTAAATATTACCACTAGCGTCGATGTGGTTGTCGACCCGTTCAGGTGCATGGAATCCCGTCATTTTCGATCCATAATTCATCGCGTGTTGCCACGTACGACTCGTCAAGAAGCTCCAGGACGCAGACGGTTTTCCTCTACGTGGTAAAAAGTGACGACGTGAATCTCGAGGATTTCTCGTACGATGCTCATGCAGCCATTCAACTGAATGGAGGGCGAATCGCTCGATTCGCAGCAGCTCCAGTTCTGGATGCGGATCTCAGTCTTATTCCTAGTGATCTGGACGATGTCGACCTCATCCGCAGTCAATCATCCGGCTTGTCGTCGAAGTTTCAGCTAGTACGCGACGTTCGAGTGGAGCTTCGTGGGTTGTACCATCCTAGAGCTCAAGACCTTCGTGCTCGTCTCTTTCATGGTAACCGCAATAGCATCATCTTTGACGGCTGTTGTACGCCACGCGATGCCTTTGGTGACCCGATATGCCGGATGTTTTTAATCAACCGAGCTCAACTTGTGTCTGAGCCACGAAATCCAACTAGTGGCGTTGGTTGGGACTACAGCTTTAGCGATTTCAATGGCGTGAAGAACTTGGCTCTTGGTGGCGGTGCTACAGCGTTACAGAGCTCTACAAGCGGCACTTGTGGACCCATGAATGCCATCGTTGGGAAGATTCGAGGCGTGGCTGTATCAACGCAAACAGTGGCGAGAACCTTACCTGCAAACGAAGCGAATGAGTCTTCGTGGTGGGAGTTGCGTTTATTAGACGTTGCCACGGTCGGTATTATACGTATCTGGATAGCAGATAGCGACCCGAGCGTTCCAGTCGATGCTTTCAGGTTGAGAGTGGACTCGAACGATGGAATTTCTGCCGTGACTGGAGATTTCACGTTAATTTTAACTACACACGATACAGAGCTAGAAACGAAGTCTATAGGTCACAACGCAGTGGCGATGATTGCGGACGAGAAAGCTTGTATCACTGCGTCAGGTGTCGGACGCGGAGAGTCGATTTAAGCAAAATTAATGGCTTTAGGAAGCGCCATACCTCGTTTATTGATTACACGGGAGCCCTGGGAGGCCGCGTTGTCACGGAATGGAGCTTTCACGTAGCATATTACGTTCCTAGATAACCCACAAGGAGCTCTAGCGGTTGGCGTTAACGACATCTGTGGTGGGGCAGGAAAATCCGGATCGGTGCCCCACAATGATAGTGATACCGGAAGGGAGAACCGTCTAAGCCTAGCGTCAGTACGTCGGTGCGAGACACGGAACAGCCCATGTTTCCGTTCTGGGTCTGGTTGTTCGACAGCTCGGCTGTAATGGACGTTGAGAGTTTCGCGGATGCCTACAGTACACTCGAGCCATTTTTTCTTATCGCGTCGACGAAAGTCAGGCAAATCGTAGCGTTATCTCAGTAATGCCTCCGCTTGGTACCAAGGCGCAATACGTGCGACTCGTAGCCGAACTGCCCCGTGGAGTTTTGTCGATAGCGGAAGTTGAAGTGTTCACGGAACAGAGTCACGTTTTGTCGCAGTACGCCGGCGGAACCCCCGTTCGAGCGGCGTATCATCCAGGTGGTAAATGTGGGTCCCTTGAAGAGCCTTTCCGCTATACATTTGGTGGTATGCCAAGTGAAGGTGCATGGACTCTGGCGGTTGAGGATACGGCAGTTAATGGGAGCAACCTGACCCCACCAAGACCGAATACCACTGCAGGCGGCATCTCCGACTGTGGTGCTTTTATCACAAACCAAGCAGGAGAAACGGTGTCTTACTTCATGGATTTCCAGGCTCAACTCCACGCTCTACCGCGACATGGGACGGTCTGGACGAGACAGAACGCGACCACCTCGATATCGATGGCAATGGGCTACTGGATTCCATTGAGGCAGACACGTATCTCCGCCGATACTCCCCCAATGGTTATACTGAGCTATCCTCGAATAATTGGGAGCGCGAACTTAAAGAATTCATGCTAAGCTATCAGGAATATGGAGCGGTGCAAAGACTGCGCGACCTTAGTGAGCGTCAGCTGCGTCTTCCGTCTTCGGTATGTAGCGCAGAATGCCTAGCAGCCATTAAGCTCGACCCCTACTACTACGTGGGTCTTGATGGCGACAGAGCGCTGAAGTTACTGAGAGTGGTTGGAGATCGAATAGTCAAGTACGTCCCGGACGCTGGTTTCCGTGGGTTGGATGCGTTCACGTTCTCCGTCGCCGTCACAGGACAGGAATCGCTTGTATTAGGGACGATCCAATTGGCTGTAAAGGAATGCGAGGATCCAGAGTGCCGCATGTCCATATTCCTGCTGCATCGTAAGATGCGGTAATGACGAAGGTGGCGGTAGATGGATGAGGTCGTAAACTTCAAATAATGCCCAGTTGAGCTCGATTAAAGTACGGGTGTTTGTAAGGAACGACTGAGGACTTTTCTATTTCAGTGATAGCATCGCAAGCATTGAAGTAGTAAGAGTTTAGGGGAAGAATCGATTTGAAGTCTGTAAGTAATACCGAGTGACTTTAAAATGTCGGATCGAAAAATTAATGAAGCTTGAGTGATGTTCTCATCTCTCAGAGCACCTTGACTACACCATTTCAGGTTCGTTCTCCCCACCACAGGAGTTCGATACAACCACCCCGGAGCCGACTTGCACATAGGACCGAGACCATTCCACCCGAGCCCGCGCAGTCTCCACCACAACGCCGTTGTGAGCTGCTACCAATCGCCAGTTCTCACCCTCCTTCGCTGCCTCGAGGACACGTGCACGAACGTCTTCAGGGTAAGTGTTACCTATTCTGCCAAAACGAAAGGGGCGCGAGGCGAAGCGATGAATGGATGGATGCCTTTGAATTCTCGAATGGTCTCGAAATGACAAAAGTTGGTGCTTTCGCAGTAATTGGCAAAAAAATAAAAGAGACACCTGTGTGTATTGAACTCAGGCATTGGGTGTTTTGAACTGAGATTTGCCCGGTCCTGTGTGCAAGTCGGCTCTGGGGTGGTTGTATCGAACTCCTGCGGTGGGGAGAACGAACCTGAAATGGTGTAACAGGAGTTCATTCAGCAATTTACTGAGCCAAAGAATTTTCAATTGACCTGTAGCTAAGCAAGCTGTTTACCCGACCCAACCACCACCATGAAGATTACTTGTGTCATCGCGCTAGCCGCAGCGGTTGTCGTTTCGATCACTGGGCCTGCAGATGCATCGTGGGGCTTGACGACGCAAACGAAGAGCAACCATGTGCAGTTTGGGCGTCGGCCTGGCGCTGGCAGTCTTCGCGGATCTGAAGAGCAGCAGAACTCACCCACGCAAACGGGAACCAGTCAGACCCAGGAGAGTAGCAGCGGGCAAGAGCAAGGAAGTGGGCGAGAAAAGGGATGATGATAAGAAGAAGGATGGCTGATGACAAGCAGAGTGACGTGTGAAGCGTCAGTAGTAATATTTAAAACATTACGACGTCATTTTTTTCTTCGCGTAATTTATTTTCGAGGATAGGGCTAAAGCTTCTAAAATAACCGCTGCGGTTTTTAACGACGCAACTGCGGCTAGCTAAGACGCGAAGGAGGTCTTCTTCGCATCTATCTTAACTATAGATTAAAAAAATATTCTATCGACCTCAGACTTAAGCTTCGGGCATTTAGTCTGAACGAACTCATTCTTACTAAGCCATAATGTAATTAGAATCAATTGATTGAATCTGCTTAATAGTTTTTGATTTATAATTTCCCCAAGTCAACAGGAATGAGCCATCATCATTTACAAACCTTATTTTTAGAACAAAGCAATATCGCTATCATCACCTAAGATAGTCTTCTGCTTGGATAGCCAACGGCAATATCCAGGATCAGAGGCAAGCATCTGCCGAATGCTTTGGTACCCTGGCAGCCCTTGCGGGCGCCCCGGGTCCTGACAGAGGTGGGAACATGACTCACCAATGCTCGGTCGGACTGCGCAGGGCGGCTGGCACCGATTGCCGTGCCTCACCAGTCGATCCAGGGCTCGTGCTTCTCAAAACAGGGCATGCCCAGGATCATATCATATGGATCCATATCGAGAGCAGTGAAGTGTTCGAGGCTGTCAAAGTCTTCAAACTTGACGGCCAGAACCACTTGGACATTGGGGACAGTGACGACCTTCCCGTCGGCCAGTCGCACTGACACCGTCCCGTTTCCCTTGCTTTCTCTCAAAGCATCGGACAATATGTTGCTATTACAAGCAACCGTCTGGCGGCGTGCAAAATTCTTCGACGCCCCAGAGTCGATCAAGATTCTAAAGGGATGATCGTATCCCCGTACACATCCGTGTACTACGAGCAACCCGCCGCTGCTCTTCGCCGATTCGAGAGTGCGAAGACTCTCAGGGGCTAAGTCCCCGTGGTACGCGCCACCTGGGCACCCATCACGAAGACTTAGCTCTTCCCCAGTAGGGCGCCCTGCCCCCGGGATCCTGGCTTTTGCCAGCGACCCTTGAGGACGGGCTTGGGGAAGGACCGTCTGCGGAGTCTTTCCGCGGGACTGGCGGGCTTGAAGTGGCACATCTTCCCACAGCCGAAGCAGGAGATGTCACGCTGTTCGGCGGACCCGAGTTCCATGGGAACTGGTCCGTTGGGGCTTGTTCGACCGGGAGCCGACAAGGAACTCCCAGGCCACGCGGAGGCCGGCGTACGCGCCTGGCAATGGCTGTACCCTTCTTGAAGAGCCACTTGAATCGCCTCTTCAAGGGTGCTTGACTGCAACCGGAACAGCTGAGTGCGTGCATGGCCCACTCGAAGGCCGTCCATAAACACAGTCATCTTGATGTGTTCGTTGAGTGGGTTTCCCACTAGGGACGCCGTGAGCTCCCGTATCTCTTGCACGTACTCGTGCAGCTCACGCCTCCCTTGTTTACACGAGAGGAAGCGCGAACGCTGGCGGTACTCGTAGCTCGCTGGGAGGAACGCGGCTCGGAGCTGTTCACACAGCTGAGCCCAGGATGTGAAACATCCAGAGGATGTTGCTTCCCGTGTGTACACCCAATTCTTAGCACGGCCGCTAAGGTTGGAGAGTTCAAAAGCAACACGAGTTGCTCGGTCGAGATCAGATCCACGTCCATCGCGAGCTCAACTTTTCGGACCCAGAAGTTAAGGTTCTCGCCTTCCTTCCCTTCATACGGCTTTACCTTCAGCCGTATTGGCTTCGGGTGAGACGGATTAGCTTCCACCGCCGGAGCCTGCAGGTTCTCCCGCACATGCGCGATGAGGCCCTGCTCGTATGCGTCAAACGCATTGACGCGCTCGAGCTGCTCGGCCGGTGTTGACACCACCAGGCTCTGCAGGGCCTCCATCCCGAAGATGCCTGTCATCTTCCGAACCGACTCGAACTGAGAGTCGTTCAGATGGGAGAAGTCGTTCCTATCCATGGCAACGAGCTTCGGAGAGGTTCAGGTAGTCGACCCGCCCCGCACGCTTTCCAGCTGGTACGATCTTCACCACGCGTGTGATCGTCCCCCTTAAGCGCCACGCTCGCTTGGCAATTTGGCTCTTTGACAAGTTCGCCTCAAACAGCCCCTTAATCCGCCCGCGCTCTTCGTCCTGCACTCGTGGCTTGCTTGCCATATAGCCGAGAAAACTCTGAATGGCGCGTGCAGCGGTGCCTGCCACAAAACCAGTGGCTGTCGACAAAGTGACCATCACTCTGATAATCTTAATTTTTATATGGACGCCAATCTGCCGATAGTTTTGTCGCAGTGCCAAATCGGTTCATTTGTATATCAGCCCTGTTAAGGACGTCGAAATCGATGTCGTTAACGTGTAGAGTATTTTGTCCAATAAATTGCGTGTCATATCTTAACGGCGTTTCTGAACTAAACCAATTGGCCAAGTTGTTGGCAGGAACTTACCCTGTCGATAAGTTATGGCGCGGAGTGTAGTCAATCCACGCCACCGCGGGTAGACTACCTGAACCTCTCCGAAGCTCGTTGCCATGGATAGGAACGACTTCTCCCATCTGAACGACTCTCAGTTCGAGTCGGTTCGGAAGATGACAGGCATCTTCGGGATGGAGGCCCTGCAGAGCCTGGTGGTGTCAACACCGGCTGAGCAGCTCGAGCGCGTCAATGCATTTGACGCGTACGAGCAGGGCCTCATCGCGCATGTGCGGGGGAACCTGCAGGCTCCGGCGGTGGAAGCTAATCCGTCTCACCTGAAGCCAATACGGCTGAAGGTAAAGCCGTATGAAGGGAAGGAAGGCGAGAACCTTAACTTCTGGGTCCGAAAAGTTGAGCTCGCGATGGACGTGGATCTGATCTCGACCGAGCAACTCGTGTTGCTTTTGAACTCTCCAACCTTAGCGGCCGTGCTAAGAATTGGGTGTACACACGGGAAGCAACATCCCCTGGATGTTTCACATCCTGGGCTCAGCTGTGTGAACAGCTCCGAGCCGCGTTCCTCCCGGCGAACTACGAGTACCGCCAGCGTTCGCGCTTCCTCTCGTGTAAACAAGGGAGGCGTGAGCTGCACGAGTACGTGCAAGAGATACGGGAGCTCACGGCGTCCCTAGTGGGAAACCCACTCAACGAACACATCAAGATGACTGTGTTTATGGACGGCCTTCGAGTGGGCCATGCACGCACTCAGCTGTTCCGGTTGCAGTCAAGCACCCTTGAAGAGGCGATTCAAGTGGCTCTTCAAGAAGGGTACAGCCATTGCCAGGCGCGTACGCCGGCCTCCGCGTGGCCTGGGAGTTCCTTGTCGGCTCCCGGTCGAACAAGCCCCAACGGACCAGTTCCCATGGAACTCGGGTCCGCCGAACAGCGTGAGATCTCCTGCTTCGGCTGTGGGAGGATGTTCCACTTCAAGCCCGCCAGTCCCGCGGAAAGACTCCGCAGACGGTCCTTCCCCAAGCCCGTCCTCAAGGGTCGCTGGCAGAAGCCAGGATCCCGGGGACAAGGGAACGCCGGGAACCAGTAGGGGCGGGGCGCCCTACTGGGGAAGAGCTAAGTCTTCGTGATGGGTGCACAGGTGGCGCGTACCACGAAGACGTAGCCCCTGAGAGTCTTCGCACTCTCGAATCGGCGAAGAGCAGCGGCGGGCTGCTCGTAGTACACGGATGTGTACGGGGATACGATCATCCCTTTAGAATCTTGATCGACTCTGGGGCGTCGAAGAATTTCGCACGCCGCCAGACGGTTGCTCGTAACAGCAACACGTTGTCCGATGCTTTGAGAGAAAGCAAGGGCAACGGGACGGTGTCAGTGCGACTGGCCGACGGGAAGGTCGTCACTGTCCCCAACGTCCAAGTGGATCTGGCCGTCAAGTTTGAAGACTTTGACAGCCTCGAACAGTTCACTGTTCT